GACAAGTGCGACATGAGCCTTCGAGCTTTCGCTGCGAGCCCGAAAGCGGCGTCTAAAGTCGTTTCCCGCGCTACCAGACACCGCGACACCTGAGTGGCTCAGCTTTGTCGCGACTCTCGGTAGCGCGGGAGACTACTCTTGCCGGACAGTCATCGCGGTCCAGGACGGGAAAGGTCAAAAAGACTCTTGCTCCAGCGCGTCTCAGCCCTTTCGCGCTCTGACCTCTAAATTGCGACGCGCTCTGAATTTAGCGAAGAGCGCCGCTGAAAGTCGCGGTCTTCAAGTTCTAAAGCGGAGTTTACAGTAGCAGTCGCAAAGTCCTACATCGTAGAGTCGTAAGAAAATTGACCAATCGCAGCCGATTATTCTCCTTGCGCTCAAGGAATAATCAATCGTGATTGGTCAATTTTCTCACGACCTTACGACTTAGGACTTGACGAGGACTTTGATCGTGGACCGATCGCTTGAAACTTAACCCCCGACTCCCGATGGCGGAGGGAAACGTCTTTCGCGTCGCACTTAGGAGCTCAGAGGAGCGCGAAGCCGAAGACTCGGCACCCGAGAGAATCGACGATCCTCTCGGCGAACTTAACACGGCTGGGACTCTCTCTCTCTCTCTCTCTCTCTCTCTCGAGCTAAACGGCGACCCAATGGACACAGAGCCGAGCTCTCCGGAGACACCGCTCGTCGGCGCGCCTATCTGTCGAACGTACTTGCGAGTCCGTCGCGGGGGCCGAGTCGACGCTGGCCGAGGACGCGTTGGACGCCGACGTGGAGGTCGACGTGCTGGAGTGATTGGAGACCGCCCGGCGGCGTTTCTTCAGCTGCTTCGTCCTGTAGAGACCCACCATCAGCGGCAGCGCTCCCAACGCCAAAGAGCCGCAGCCGAGGCCGATCATCGCGCCGATCTTGGAGATGAGGAGGACGCTGGACGTCGTCGAGTCGTCCATTTCGCGCAGCCTTTAGTAGTGCTCGTTCTTCAGCAACGACGTTCTTGTCTCCGGACTATCTCACGACCGCGCGACACCGTTGTCGTAGCAGACGCGCATCTCCCGCCGGGAGACTGACACTCCAGGCTCGCTTCTCCTCCGTCACGAGGTTACGTCGTCTTGTCGCTCAGTCGCTTTCTCTCGTAGTGCTGCGCGCTCCCGTCGGCCGTCGCATTCATCTCGCGGTGCTCTCGACGTCGCCCGGCCAGCCGCTGTCGCAAGGTCGGAAACTACAACGGCGATATCTGCCTCGTCCAAGGTGCTTCGTGGTGCTTCTTCAGCTTCTCTTCGTCGGCGAGGAAAGCACACCGGGCGAGCCGGTGACGCGCGTTCGCCGCCGTCGAAGCAGCTCCGGAGCGCGCGCGATACCAAGCGACAGACAGACAGAGAGAGAGAGAGAGAGAGAGAGAGCGGCAGCGAGGAGCAGCAGCACGCGCCGCGACGACTGATCGGACACTCCGGTCTGGATGGGAACTCGGCTGGGTCGGACCCCTCGCCGCCTCGTCTTACATAGTCCAAGCCGAGCCGTTTCCTGCCCACTCCCGGGCGCTACGGTCATCCTTCTCCAGCGGCCACCCGGTAGCGTGTAAATTCCCTCTCTCTGTTTCCGTCTCTCTCTCTCCCGCTCTCTCGCTCTCTCTCTCTCTCTCTCTCTCTCTCTCTCTCTCTCTCTCTCTCTCTCTCTCTCTCTCTGTCTCTCTCTCTCTCTCTCTCTCTCTCTCTCTCTCTCTCTCTCTCTCTCTCTCTCTCTCTCTCTCTCTCTCTCTCTCTCTCTGTCTGTTTCTCTTCGGCTCGCCCGCGCCGCGGCTAATCGTCCGCCGCTCAGTGGCGTAACTAACGACCTCGCGAACCGTCCTCTGGGAGGAGGGAAGGCAGCCTCGGCGGTCTTATCGGACTTTGCAAGTGACTAACTGGTTTGGAAAAAACAAGGGCGGCGGGAGGAGGGGGAGGGGCGAGAGAGAAAAGTGACGCGAAGAGCGGAGGAGATGGTGGAGAAAGGAAGGATGGAGCAAAAGAAATGGAGGAGTAACGCGGTAACGTTATTATATCCCGTTAGATCCCGCGGGCTGATTTCGCCGTTCATCGACGAGTCCCTTCAAGTTCGTCCTCGGGTCTCCCGCTCCTCGCCCTCGCTCTTCGCCAAGCAAGGTACTCCCGACGCTAATTACATCACTGTCTCTCCACTCCACTGTGTTCGGCGGAGCTCGCGGCATTCTCTCTCCTCCCCTCCCTCCCCCCCCCGTCCTCTGTCGTGCGTGTACATGTGCACGCACGTGGACGACGCGGGTCGTCGGCAACGCGGAAAGCTCGCACAGGGCAGGTAGCTCTCTCACGTTTGAAAATGATGTCACGGGTGACATTTGCGTGCGCGTCGGACCGGACGAGGAACGAATTACACGAAGAGCGGTGTAACGGTACTTTGAAGAGAAAAGAAACGACTAAAGAGAAAGAGAGGGAGGTCCGAGTACTCTCTCTTCAGGGTCAAGCCCTAATTTCGAAGATCGTACCTCCAAGCTGTCGATCAGACTTTCCAGGAGCGAGGGAGGAGGAGGACTCGCCTAAATTTTCTGATCTACGACCTCGTGCGAAAAGGGCTTGATTAAGGGCCGCTGAGGAAGAGAACTCCACAAGTTCTCGGCGAGGAGAGTTTCCCGTTCCTCGCTCGCGCTTCCGGGATTCCGCGAAGGACCTCCCGAGGACCCACGAATCGGCGAGGTTGAGGATTCCATCCATCGCGCGCTTTCACCCTACCCGAGCGGAGGATAGCGAGAGGACGACGTCGCGCCTCCCCGTCGAGAGCTCAATCGAGAGCTCTACCGAGAGCGCGGCGACGGAGACGACGTCGAAGACGCAGCTCGATGAACAGGGAATGAAGAGGTGGGTCGTCGAGGCCGGCGGAGAAGACGCGCTGTGAACACGGTATTTGCCGAGAGAACGAGGTGCGTTCGGATCAGCGCTATTCAGCGCCGCAAGCTGTCCGTCGAGCTTTTCGGTTTTAGTTTCTTTAGTTGTAGAGCTTAGTTAGCGGTAATGACGTCATTGGAAGGTAATTTACCGGTGCTGCTTTTATTCGCTTTGAGCGAGCTTCTTTAATTCGCCAGCGAATTCGCCGATCAACATTCCCTCTGGACGGCCCAATTTTCATTCGCTAGCGTCTGCTAAATTTGGAAGACGCGGCGTTTCTTCCGGGGTAGCTCGTTTATTTAGTTATTTATTTAATTATTTTATTACCTTGTTATTACTCGCGTAACGTGCGACCGCGTCTGAATAAATTTTTCGGGCGTAACGTCCGACCGAAGAGGCGTCTAAAACCGCGAGGACGCCGCAGCGCTATACCGCAGCAACGCTAACGCTATTGCTGTTCTCCCGCTATCGTCGCTCCATCATCACGCTAACGTGGGGCACCACGAAGAGTTTCGCTAGCGCTTGCGTGCGATCGCAGCCGAAGTGATCGATGCCCCGCGCCGCCGCTCACTTTCGCGGGCCGCGCTTTTCGCTTCTTCCCTTTCTCCCTTCTTTCCTTTCTCCCCTTCGGGTCCTCGCGGGACCGCCAATGATAAGCAGCGCGCGGAGGCATGAAGGATATCCGCGTCATGTCTCCGAGGGAAAAAAGAAACCTCGGATCGAGTGTGACTCACGAGAACGCGCGGCGGCCGTGGTGTCGGCTTTTCGCTCGTTTTCGTTCGACAATCGGCCGGGGAAAATTCGCCCGCGAGCGGAATCGTGAATCACCGGCAGGATGTCCTTTGCTCCTCGCGCGCGCTACATTCTCTTTTCTCCCCTCCTTCTCTGCCTTTGCTCCGCACTCCCACCGCCCACCTGTGCTCGCTTCGAGCACCGTGGCCGAACGTCGGCCTCGACGTGCCGTCGCTTTTTCTGCGCCTTCGAATTACGCGCGAACGCGCATGCCGCGGCGCACACGAGCGATCGGAGATTTATCGCTCGAAACCGGCGCGGCGGTCGATGCACGGGATAGGCCTTTTCCGAAATCGACTCTGGAAACTTTAGTATTTGCTGTTGCGTTGATAGGTCTTGAACTAAATTGAATACGTTTCGTGATCAGCTGATCAATTATATAGATAATAAATAATGAAATAATAATAAAAATAATAATATAATAAAGTAATATAAATAAATAAATGAATAATAAAAAAGATCTACCCATTTCTCTGATATTGCAAAATTAATAGCTAAAATCAAGTTTGTAAACGGAATCACGTTCAACCATGCTGACCAGCTGATTCATTACCGGACGTGTCTAGATTAGTGTTTAAAGCCTGCCAACCTTATAATTAAAATCAAAGTTTGCGAAGCCGCGATTTCTTCGATTTGCCCGAAAATCGAATCGAGAGCGCTCATCAGAGCAGCGCGCATGCGCGTGTCTCTTCGACGCTCGAATTGAACTTGCAAGATGAACTTGAACGGGATTTCAAAATGTTGAATTCTGTCACGTCATATTTTTTTCTGCTCGAAAGAGGAGAAGAAAGATCGCCTCGATTAATCGAGGGAGATCTCACGTCGCGCTACGACGTTGGAAAGTCTTGCGCTCATCAAACTGTCGTTAAGAGAGCGTTAAGGTGCTCATGTTCGTGCTCATAATCGCGTTCGTAATCATGCTCTTGAGATGTTCTACGCGTATATCGTTTGGGGATCAATTCTCTTCGTAATTTGGTTGCCCGGATATACGCATGCTGCGACGTTCGAATTCGCGCATTCTAAGTTCCAGAATGAACATCCGAGCCGCCGGGTCTAACAAGCACGGACGGCGTAGGCAAAACGCGGCGAGACGTCAGCGAACTCAGCAAGATGTAGAAATTTCAGCCACTTAGAGCCACTTTCAGCTCGACGGCGTCGACTAGCACATTTCGTCTCGTCGAGGAGAGAGAGCACGCGGATCGGACAATTATTCCCGGCCCGAGAGACGTACCGTTCTCTCGATTTCTACCATTGGCTATTATCAGCGGGGAATGTGAAACTGTACCGCGCGTCAATAAAGTCGCTTGCACTTACTCAACATCTGTATGCCGAACATGAGGATGAAACCCACGAGGATCGAGAGGTACTGCTTCAGACCGCTCCGATGTTCCTGCAGCACCTCGAAGAACACCACGTAGAGGAGGGTACCCGACGCCAGACCCTGCGGTCGAGAAGCAGAAGGACATAACTCCCTGCCCAAGGAAGAAATGAGTGATCGAGGAACTGTTCGGAGATGAATCCGGCAAGATTCAGCTCCGACCCGGAAGAGCCTCGAACACGCTCCAGAGGAATTTCTTTTCATCCGTTTACTTTTTTAATGTACGTTGTTACGCAATTGTTTGTAATGTAATTTTTCAAATGTATACACTGTAAGAAATTATGTGTTAAATTTAACATACTTCATGTGTCTCAAATCGTTCACTCTCATTTGTGTGTTAATTTAACATACAGCAAATATGAATAAAAAGTAACACGCATAATATGTAAGAAATTAACACAAAAATTTAACATTCGAATGCCGTGAAGATCACGGTTTGCGTTAAATTGACATACAATGAATGTTACTTCAACATTTCGGAAAAGCAATGATCTATGATTTGATGAAATGGAAATGTTAGATTGACATAATCTATCTGTTAAAAATCCAATCTTTATATAATGTAACACACGATAACTGTTGTAACAAGGAAATTTACACATTTTAGGTGTTGTTGACTTTAACGTACAAAATATGTCAGAGCAAGAATTCATGCATTTACATATAAATTTTTGTGTTATTTTAACACTTGAGAATAGTTAATCTTAATTTGACACACAAGAACACAAGAAAGTGACCAAGTAACACAACAACGATACGTTAAATTAACACACGACTGTGTAAAAAATTTGACACAAAACTTTCTGCACAAAAAAAGGAAATTTTAACGAAAGTACGAAACGTTTGCAACTGTGTGAATATATCTCAAATATAAATATAAGTATCTTCCGCACGTCAACGATCTCTCTCGGAGAATTTCGAGCGACGCGCGCGAAGCGCAGCCACGCCGTCGCGGGGTCGCCGTGTATTTCCCAAATTGCGAAACTTGCCTGCAGTATCACCGCCATCGGGCCGCTCGCGGCCGCGCTTCCACCGCCGACCAGTAGCATGCCGACGCCAATTCCGATGGGCGACACCACCGCGAACGTGAATACGTAAATTACGGACAGATACCACCTGGTCTTCGAAGCGATCAGCTCTACTCCGATGCAGAAGGCTATAACGAATTTATGGGCCGCCACTGCCCCGAACATGTACCTGCAAAACGTGCACAGTGTTTGCAAATTGCGCCGTTTATCAGGAACGAGCCCGCCGCTCGCTCGGCTCTCGTTCCAAGGTGCGAGCGCGGACGCGGCTCGATCGGGTAAAGTAGTCGGCAGTCGCGAGGAAAGATCAACGCGAACGGGCGAAAGTATCGCCACGGGCCGAATCTGGCCGTCGCGGACGAGGAGATACGCGCGACAACGCTGATTAGCTGACGTTGCACGCAATCGACAGCTCGCGGGAGAGCGAGATAACAGATTCCGATACGATCGCGTCCGCGTCTGTATCGCGCGCCACGTCACCTCCACGCTGAGAGGAAGAAAGAGATAACGTTGCTGTGATCTTGCTAATAAGAGCAAGAGAAGGAGAGCGGAGGACGCGCGTGGAGAGAATGTTTGTTCGGAGGAGTGAATTTTCCGCGTGAAGCGTGAATTCGATTCTCAAGTTCCGACGCAATCCTGCGCTCGAGTTAGCCGGAAATCTTGACAACGCCGATAAGCTCAAGCCAGCCGGGAAGTCCCTGGCTGGCTTGGAATCCTCCGATTCCTCTCCAATCCCCAATTTCGCCGAATCGCTCTCTCGATCTCGATTCAGAAAATTCTCTCGCTCGAGCGGACATATTTTTCTTCGTGGTGTTATCGCGTAAGGTTTCGGCGAAACTCGCAATGTTGAAACTCGACGAAAATGTTTTTGCTGACAAGAATCCGGCAAACATTCTCTTCTCAGAGCGTAAACACGAGTGTATCACGTATATCGAGCAGTTGTTACCAGACGTAGTTGCCGGAACTTTCCAAGCCGATCGCCAGGCCCTCGAAGAGTTCATGCACGGACAAGCCGAGGACTATTAGCAGCCCCCTCAGCGAGCTGATGACGAAGTCGTCCTCGTTGCTCTCCATGATGACCGGCAGGTGGCTGTGGCCCCTGCAAGAAACCGAGGACTCCGAGTCTCATGTCCGTCCATTCACGCCGCTCAATGAATCGGTATTTTCGCACATGAAGAAGAGCAGAAGAAAACAAACTTACATGTGTGTGTGGCCGTTGGCGCACGGCGGCACCTGGCCGCTCTCCATCAGCTCGTTCGTGCTGCGGTTCACGTCTTTCGCCTTGCCCGCCCCCCGCCGCTGCCTCCACCGCAGATACGTGTGCACGCACTCCTCCACAAAGTACATGATGAAGAACCTGCGGGAGAAATGGCGGGCGTTCACAGCCGCGACGCGCGTGCGATGATACGCAACCGGAGCGCTCGCGCGTGTTTCTTTCCCAACTTGGTCGTTATCGTCGGGGAGCAAATAACAATGAAACGCGAATAATTGGAGAAAACGAGAGAGGAACCAAAGAGTCAAATAGCAGAACGAAAACAACGATATCGCGTGTTTGCTCGAGCACGTCGCCGGCGACCGGCGACCGGCGCGGCGCGGCGGGATTTTACGTCGTTCGCGGCGTCGTCATCGCCGCCGCCGCCGTCGTCGCCGTCGTGCGAAATTAAGCGTGTAAGGCTAATTACGCGACGAATCGACGATTATATCGACGATAATGGTGATTCAACTCAACGGCTACTTCGCGCTTCGCGGAGGATTAAGTAAATATTTCGCGTTAACGACGGGAGGAGAGTCCTCCTCCACTTGGCGGCGCGCGAGATTGAGTTTCCCCGTGTGAGTCTCTTTTCTCCTTTCCCTCCGTCCCTCCCTCTCTTTCTCTTTTGCAAATGTTGGATTTGCGCATAATGACGTCAGGCTTGACTCACCCGGTGCACGCGAGCATCTCTGCCCATGAGAAGCTGAGCTTGGGTAGTTTGCCTTCCTCGATGAGATGGCCTACGCCGTCCGTCACTTCCGGTAATAAGTGGAGAAATGTCGTGCTGAGGAGAACGCCTCCGCCGAAGCCGAGCAGCAGGCCCACCGTCTTCATCGATCTACGCACCGATGCGGACGACGCGCGGAAACGGTCATTTGCTACAGCCGGTCTTGTCCGGTGAATTCGCGCGACGTCGTCGACGAATTGAAGAAGACGACGTCACGCGAGACGCGAGATGAGTCGTCGCGCTCTTCGGACATCACGCAGCGATCGTTCTGATATCAAGGTATAAATAATGGACGCTTTGATCCACAATCTCGAATACATTCGAGCCCGGAAGGACGTCGACGAAAAACGGCAGGAGAACGTCGTCGATCGTCCGTCAACGACTGGCTTCTCATTTTTTCACTTAATATTTCATCCGGCGACGGATTGAACGTTGGCTTTCATCATTGTTTCTTCAAGTAAGCAAACTCGAAGTAGCCAAACTCGCGATCGACCGAACGGCCAGAGAACGCGAGGTGTTTCCGCTAAGAACGATCGCTGCGATCTTCATTGTCGCTCGCACACCGAAAGAGGAAAGTGCCTGCTATTTGCGTGAGGTAACTTTAGCCGGGGAAAGATTGTCTTTGCAGCTCAAGCGATGTTTCACCACGGTGATAACAATAGCCTCGTGTCTCTCGTATATTGCTGCTATTGTGTGCAAAAGTGTTTAATCTTCTTTTCCGCCCTCTCTCGATCAGCAGACAATATTTTTTTCTAACGAGTTTTTCATAAAATATTTCATTTTATATTTCTTTTATATTTCTTTTTTACATCCCTTCCATTCATAGTACAAAAAATATTTACTTGACGTTTATTTAACGTATATTTTATACATTGATTCTTCATTTAAAATAATGAGTGAGAGAAAATATTTATTTAACGTTTATTTAATATCTATTTTACATTTAATAACTCGTTTAAAATTATGTTTGACGTTTTAGAAATGTTTTTTAAACTTGTTTCTTATATTCTTAAAAACATTTTTTAAATATTATATTCTGATCGGGCGAATGTAATTATTTTGAATTGAAATATCTTCCCGCCGTTTTGTATTTTTGTAAGGTTGATATTGAACATTCTAAAACGCCATTCATTATGGTTATCGTTGGTGCCACGTAACCTTAAAGTAAATAAAAATACCCAGAAGGACTCTTCGCCGCAGTCTTTAAAGCGACAAAAGCGACATTTGCACGTAGGAGGACACAACATTTCCACAAGAACAGAGCAAATAGATCCGCATGCTTCAGCAGCATTTTTTCCTCGCTGGAATTCATGTCGAATGCAGTGTCGAACATAAAGTTCTTCGTCACTCACGTTGCATCAACTGTTATTTCTAAGGTTGTGTTGTGCACCAACGAATCATAATGAATGGCGCTTTAGAAAGTTCGATACCGACTTTACGAGAAGACGAAACGGCGGGGAAACATTTCAATTCAAAATAATTAAACAGGGCTGAAAAAGTGACTAAAACACATACTTAACACCGTTGCTGCTGAACTTCCTCGCCAGGCGGACGACGAGGAAATACGCTTAGGGCTGCTTAGGGCTTGGGGGGGAATTGCTACAATTCTCATGAGACTTGACCGACTTTGTCTGTCGGTGTACGATCACAGGTTGCGTCGGATCGTTACATCAGAAATGTCATCTACCTGGGATTCACGTGCTCAGTGGTGTCCCACTTGTACCATTTGGCCAAGAACATCGGCAGAATGCCCATGCACGTGCTGACGGTGCAGAGAACCGCCATGGTGACGCCTTTGGCGACAAGTACACGTGACGGATCGTCGTCCGACGACAGCGCTTCTTCATCGTGATAATGCGGAGTCGCGTTCATCAGCAACTCAGCCGCGTGGTGGTGATCGATCAGCGACATGGTGTCGACTCCCTCCGGTTCTCGCTCACTGCGAATTATTAATAGTTTATCAGCGGGGATTTCCTCGCAGCGGCAAAAAAGGACGCGGGCAAGAAAGGACTCGGGGGTTGGGAGGGTGGGAGGGGATTGCGCGACTTCCGTTGCGCAAGCTGCAGCAATCGCCTCGGCTCAGCGATCCGACGTAGAAATTGAATTTCGTCGGAGGCTAACGCAAGCGAGACTTTGTTGTTCGCGCGATGTAGGTGGTGGACTCTCCAAAGTGTCGGGAGCTCGACTCGACCGCGTGTAATTCTACCTCCAGCATGAAGATTAAGTAAATCGGAGGAGCGTTAAGGGAACGGCGGGCCGGTAACGCGCGTCGGCTCAGCTTTGCGATCGCCTCGTTCAGCTGAACGTGGAACTGGCACTTCGCACGCGCACGGTAAGAAGTAGGCAAAAAAGAAAGGCGGAGTCGATCAGTCGTCTTTTCCGAAACTTTTGCGACTATTATTCGGACTCATCGTTCCGAAGATGTCAGCTGCTGGTCGCCTGTCAGGCGCAGGGGTCGCAGGTGCTGGACCCCTGCGACCCCTGCGCCGCCAGCCCAAGATGTCGAAGAAAGAAACAGTGGCTTCAAGTGGCTTTCCGTGATAATCCGCGCGTTCCTCACGGATAATGCGTCTGGGCGTGTGACCCTCGCGTCTCTCGATTGCACTTCGTGTTTTACGACGACGCGAGATATCCCGTGGCCAAGAAAGAACGCGTGTCTCGGTAACAATGTTAGATACCGAGAGGAACGTCATATCGCTTCACGGCGCCCCGTAACTTTGACGCGCCGCGCGAGCGGCGCAAAGGTCGCGCGCGCGTCAATCTGCTCGTCGACTCATCGGCGAGCCGCGAGGGAGCTATATCGATAACAGCCGTGAATGAGCCGTCTATCGTCGCGCTGCAGGGAGCCGCGTCGCGATCGGACGAGAGGAAAAAATAGACACGTCGCGGCGTGCGCGCGTGTTGTCTCCGCGCCAATCACGCGTTTTGCGAGCCAGCTACGCGAGCGCTTACGTAGCGTGGCAGATTCAGCGATTATGTGTGTACCTCAGCTAGACGAGATTATTACATAAAGCGGTGACATAATAATCGCGATAAGAAACCGGGGGGCGCGATCTCCTCAAAGCGATCTCCGCGAGAAGACGCCGCGGGACCAAAGCCCGCGCGGGGGTCGCGTTTCTCGCTTCACGACTCGTCGACGCTTCATGACGCTTCATGACGAATGATGCGGTTTTGTGACAATGTCGCGCACGTGCGAATTAACAATAGCCGAGGGTCAGGCTACCGAGCTACCCGGGAGTCGAGCGCGAGCTCGAAGATCCAAGTCGACACTCGTCTCGCCGTTCCAGTCTCGTCGGAAGGCGAGCGGAACTCGAAGAAGAGCCGCGGAGCAGATTGGAACGTTGAGCGAGTCGATTGAGTCACTACTCGATCCTGCATACTTAAGGGGACTGGAGGGTCGGATTACTAAAAATCGTGCTTGTTTTTGATAATGATCTTGTGACGAACTGAATAAATGTGCAAGAATGAAAATTTTACATATATTTATATGACATATGAAGAGTGGAAAAATTTTGTTTTTAAACAAATACTCATATATAAATATACGTTCATTTAAATTTTAAACGCGTTTCTCTCGAAAATTTATTGTTCAACTTTTCGCAGTGATTTCTTCGAAATCACTGAGCTTCGTATCGATTTGAAATTTTAAAGCAATAATATCTGTTCATGTGGCTCTCGGGTGAACCATGGACAACTTCGTTAAAATATTTCATTTTGAGATATTAATTTTTTTATTGTAAAAGAAATAAAAAATTTAAATATTTTCCTAATAATAGCTGCCATTTCGTTGATTTTGTTCGATTTTTCGTTCTAGTGGTTCACCGGATAATGATAAGCCTCCTCAAGATTTCTAGCTACGAAAAACGATAACTTGAAAAAAAGGAGAGTATATTTCAGCTATATGTGTCGTATATTTATACGACGAGTATTTGTTAATAAACAAAATTTTTCTACTTTACATATGTTGTATAATTACGACCTAAAATTTTCATTCTTGCACATTTATTCAGTTCGTCACAAAATATTGTCAAAAGCAAGCACGATATTTCAGCAATCTGACCCTTCAGTTCCCTTAATCTCGATCGAGACTCCTAAATCCCTAAATCTGCGAGTGGAAGCGAGTCGACAATCGTCTCGGCGCGGCGAATATCAAAGCTGCCGCCAGGCGCCGGCGCCGCACAGCGGGGCGAAAGCGCACAAATTGCGGGACGTATGGGTCAAAAATTGAAAGTTTGAATTTGCAATATATATTTCTTTGAAAATATTCATACATGACGAAATAATATCGGACATGTCAAGCGTTTGTTCAAAGAAGTACTTAAGAAATGGAAATAATAAAAGCTACGTTTCTGTTTATTTCAGAAATACATGCTTTTACGCGAAAAATAAACAATTCTGTCGTATTATTTAAATTAATTGTAACATATCTGTCTCTCTTTTTCTCTTTCTTCACGCGTAACACGGCTATGCCGGCGCGCCGACGCACAGTGGGAAATTTCGCTCACTTTTTGGACAAAAATCTTGTTAGAGCTCAATTCTTCATGAAATTGAATGATTTTTTTTTTAAATATTTGTAAAGACTTATACTTTAAGCTGGTACTGCGGAAATTTAGTTATCGTTAAACCTACATTAAAGAAAGATGATCAAATGCGAGTAAACCTAAAACTCATATATCAACCATATACTCTTAAATATTTAAAACGTAGAACCTTTAGCCTTTAGGGTTGAAGAATTTAAGTTTAAGGCCTTAGGGTTAAAGCGTTTTGAGGGTTTAAGAGACCTTATACAATAAGCAATTAGTCAAAAGCCGTAAGCAAATTGACGAATCATATTCGATTATTTTTTAAATTATCGACTGTGGTTGGTCAATTTGCTTACGGTTTTTGACTAATTGCTTATTGTAGAAGATTTCTAAGAGTTTAAGGCTAAAGGTTCTACGTTTTAAATATTTAAGAGTATATGGTTGATATATGAGTTTTAGGTTTACTCGCATTTGATCATCTTTCTTTAATGTAGGTTTAACGATAACTAAATTTCCGCAGTACCAGCTTAAAGTATAAGTCTTTACAAATATTTAAAAAAAAAATCATTCAATTTCACGAAGAATTGAGCTCTAACAAGATTTTTGTCCAAAAAGTGAGCAAAATTTCCCACTGTGCGCGACGCTCGGAGATCGTCTGGAGAATTTGGAGCCCGCGATGAGACGACGACAACACTCCGTCACTCGCAAGCGATCTACTCCCGCGAGTTAAGAAATCGCGGTAAATGCATTATCTCGCGATTGGTGATCCCGGCATGATAGTAGCTTTATTACGACCGTGCCTCGGTCACTCGAGCATGATTCGCCTCTCGAAGCTAAAAGAAGCCCGTTATCGCCGACGCATCTCTCGGCCGTAGCGCGTTGCTCAATCTTATCGGGCTCGGTGCTCTCGCGTGTGAATTGTTCGAGAACACACGTCGGCGACGATTTCGAGAGATTCGCTCTCGAGTCGGGGGAGGTGTCCGAAGGAGGCTGGCTGTCTCAGCCGCGAGGAAATCGAATGCCTGCGGCGCGCCGGCAAAAAGCCGCGTGTCGAAACGCCGCGCCGCCTCGGCCGTTCGGTGGTCGATAATAAAGTAATCAGCGGCCGCGACACGCTTCCGTGAGATTTAACTGCGCGATTTACGGATCGTTATCCGCCGCGCCGGCACACCGTTCAACCGGTTGGATATCAAGTATCGCGGAAAAAACGATAGGCGTTACTCGCGCGTTGTCGCCGCGCCGTCGAAATCGCGCGACGCGGTTCGTGATCGATAATCGAAGATCTGTCACTTGACTTGGTGTATATCGATAACCGGCGCGTCGTGTGCGTGCGTGTGTATGTATGTGTGTGTGTGTGTGTGTGTGTATACCTTTCTCGTGACGTTCGCTTTCCCTCCACCTTGCGACGGACAGATCCTTTTGAAATGCGCGGCGCCACTTTGGCCCGCCGCGAACTCGGAAATTCCGGAACGCGCGCTTACGTTCGCGACACCGGGTATATTAATTTACGCACCGGCCGACGCACTACTGGGCGCGGGGCTTTTCCGTCCAGCTTATATATACACGGTGTGCTATTCGATATCGTCTCCCGTGATCTATGAACAATCGTCGATTGACCGCGCCGAGCGATAACGTCGGGCCGATAGAAACGAGCTCGCTGTTGCTAACAATAGATATTTCTACGGACACGAGGATTTACCGCGCGCGCGCGCGCGCGCGCGTGCGAGAGAGAGAGAGAGAGAGATCCCGGTGATGTTGTTTGCCCGGAGGATTAAGCGTTGGAACTTGAAAAACACCTTCGAAGGCCGTCGTCTTCGAGATATGCTCGGGTTTCTTCACTCGCGAGTAAATCGCACGGGAAATCTCTCGCCCTCGCGAGTTCCCTTACGCGGGCTAAGAATACTTAACGTTTTCACGTTCGACGACCACGAACGGCTCGGGAAATTCGAGTTCAGCAGCGGGACGGGGAGGCTGACGAGGCTTGAAAACCGCGCCAGCCCAGCGAGGGAAGACGTTTTCAAGCGGAAAACCGAGTGAGGAGTAAATTCAAGAGAAATGCGGATTCTAAATCTCTCCCTCCCTCCCTCCCTCCCTCTCTCTCTCTCTCTCTCTCTCTCTCTCTCTCTCTTTATTCCTCTCTCGAATTCTGCTGTAGCGTGCAAGCGACATCGTAGAGTCCGGCTAAGTGACTCTCCGACGCGGCGTTAATGTGTCGAGACAGGGCGTCACTTTGTTCGCGATGATCGCAGGCTATCACGAATCGCCAGCAGTGATAGGCGATCTCTCCCTTTTTAAATCGATTCTTGCCCGTTCGATTGTTGCACGAATTGGTGCTCTCGAACGTTGATCCCAGTCAAGAATACTTCGTCGAACGAAGCAACATCGGTGGATAAGCGCGTGAACGCGCGATCGAAAGTCAATGCTTCCGAGAAGAAAAATCGGTTTTGCGTGCAAAAATCGAGCGAGAACGAGTCGACTCGAGAAGAACCGATTTCCGAGGGGGAAACACCGAATTTTTTCAAGATCCAATCGACATCGCTACTCACTGGAGTGAAGGGAATTTTGGGACAATTTTCGCGGTATCGGCAGCGCAGTCATTTCGAATCGGTCTACGCACAATGTTCCTAAGACGTCTCGGGACACAATGACTCATTGACGATGGCGTGTCGATTTTCTGCGTATCAGTTTATCAGCTCGCACGAACTCTCTCGTCCATCATTTCTTTCGACCGGTCGCGATACCGAGTCATAGCCGATAAATCGAGGCTATGAGACACCGTTATCATCCCGGGAGTGTCGCGGCCTTTTCCTCTCTCTCTCTCTCTCTCTCTTTCTCTCCCTCCTCCTCCTTTTCCTCGTTTCACTGCACCGAATTTTTTTTCATCTTTCTTGCCGAGCGAGCCGAGCGCCGATTTAACGGCGCGACTTAACGACTGCTCTGTTCGCCGACTCGAAGCGATCGATTCGCGAGGAAGAACGCCGCGAGAGAAGTGGCGGCCTTTGAGGCGTGCGCCGGTACTAGGCACCAAGAAATCGAATCGCAGTGAAAGTGCACGCGCGGCGTGACCCTCCGACGAGCAGAAAAAACTCAAAAGTTGCGCCGGGAGGCAGGGAGCAGGGTGAGGTACAAGCGGAATCGCTCCTGTGTCGTTCAAGGTAAACTCGCGGAGATCGCAATAGTCGATCGCGCGATCGCCTCGATCGACCACATGTGAGCTCCCACATACACACACACACACACACACACACACACACACACATACACATATATATACCGAGAAACATAATTGTATCGTACTTTCTTGCGACTCGGGAGAACGGACGTTTAATTCAGTAACGCAAGAGCGCTACAAGAAGAGGAATAATTGGTCGAATCTAGGATGTCGATTGGTTGAAATAATATTCGCAAGTAAATTGCCGTTCGGTCGGAGGACTAATTGCGGCGGAGCGTGAAAAGAGAAAGCGACAAAGGGAAAGGGACAAGCTCCGGAGAATCTGCGGAGAATCCGCAGATGGTGGTTTGTTGTCTCGCGATGACAACTTTCCACTCGCCGAGGTCGATCAGCGATTTCGACACTGATGACGGGAAAATCCTGTTCGTTGGATTCTCGGGAGAGGATCATAAGGAATCAATTTTTCTTATTCTCCGTCGCGACGATAACCCTCCTGTCGCCGCTGGAGCTTGCTTATTCCGACCGCGTGGTGCAAAACGCAGTCGTCCGATATTAAGATTCATTTGTCTCGCGCGAAGGCCACGAAGGTACTTACGAAGATGTTATTTCAGCCTGAGAGACAGACGCGATCATACTTAGCCGCGTATTCAGCCGCCGACTTTTCCACCCGGGACGCGGAGAAAACCGCGATCGGTCGAGAGATGCTGTCCGTTTTGGACAGTCGTGCGAATCCTCGCGGTTTCAACTCGATTTTCAGAAAATCGATCTTTCGCTATTGATAAGATCGAGCGAAAGGGCCAATTTGAAAGGCCGAAAGGCTCGAAAAAGAAGCCTCGCTTTTTCTCGAAGATCGAATCGAGATCGTCTCATTGCGCGCGCATCAGGATGCACTGATGATGTTGAACACGCTCGAAGTGATCAGTCGGTAATAATCCTGGCCCAACCTCTGCCTGAATAGTGCAGCTACATTGCAATAGATCTGTTTTCTCTTTCTAAGAATTTTTGTACTAATGCGGTAAGTTAGAGCGAAACAGATATATTTTCTCTCATTCTAACTTATTGCATTAGTTCGGAAATCCTTTGAAAAAGGACAAACCCAGTTGCATTGTCGCGCGACTATAGCGCGACTAAAGTTGCACATGTGCGGAATACGCAAGAAACTGTCCAAGGTACAACAGCGACATAATGCAGCACCGAGACGCGATAAGAAACATATTTAAAATAAAAAAATTTTGCTTGAACGTTTCAAAAAATCGCAAAAAACACGTTTCAAACAAAACCTGTCTTAAGAATATATGTTCTTTGATTTTTGCATTTGACTTTTAATACAGCTTAAACGTTTGACTTTTGGTGCGATTTGGAGTGTGGTCGGTGGTTTGATAAGAAAACTTTTTTTTATAATCATTTCACTTAAATAAACTATGACATATATATACATATGCAAGATTTGAATTATGAAATAAATAGATGCAATATATATACACGTGTACGTAATAATAATGTTTTTTTTTTTATAATCGTGTAATAACGTACACATTTAATAATTTTGCGTCCAAAATTTATATTAAATATCCAAAGAACAAAAAACACACATGTTTAAAATCCCTGTTTAAAATGCGTTAAAAATTGTTATTTATTCTTCTATTATTATTTAGCGCTCTCCCCGAGCGTGAAAAGCCCGGGGAAGTACGAACGAAACATAAACCGAAACGAAACCGTTATCGCGTCGGAGCTGCATCCGAGAGAGCGTCGGCTCAGCTCGACGGATTCTTAAGAATGCGCCCGCCATTAGGGGACCGAATGAAAGGCCTGTTCGAATTTCCATGGACATTCCAGCGACCGCGGGTGTTTCCCCGGAGTATTCACGGGGAATTCCCCCGTGATCCGACGAGGAAATTACAGCGAACACCGTTCGACTCGTGGAGCCGCCTCCACGTAAACGGCACGCGCGTGTGTTATTTAATACACGACGCACGATGCACACGTCGTTTTTGTTTAACACATACATTGCAGACGCAGCGTCAGCGTAATTTACGCGATGCCTTCGTACGTTTCTAGAGTACCCGCTGTATCAACAAAGTGTCAATAGCGCGCGTGTGTGCGCTCGTCGTTCGTACGCGTGCATATAGTTACGATGGAATATGCTAATGCTGGTGACGGAGACATGTCGCGCGCTTCTCTTTTCTTTTTTCGAATCGGCAAAGGCGGAACTATTTTCTCTTCTGAGAAAGAGAGAAGAGAAGAGTCCTTCCTTTAAAATGCGTGATCCAAGGTGGATTTCTTCTGCTTGTAAAAATTACTATTTTCTCCGGACAGCGTGATAAATTGCTCCTCCCCGCACTTTTCTTAAAAAAAAAAAAAAAAAAAAAAAAAATAATAAAACTGCACACATTCCTCTTTCCGTTCGGAGGGAAATGAAGACTCGCTCGGACGCAGCCGTTTTCGCTCCTCGATGGCGAAGAGCACGTAACGCGACCGTCTCTCCCGCAGGAATTCGATGTCGCGCACGTGGCGGCGATAATGCCCACACGAATACGATCACGTCTGTTTTATATTAATGTCGTTTTAATTTCCTTCATTTTGTTGATCTCGCGTTCTCATCGAACGCGATCGGGCGCCTCTCCCGCACGCATCGGTAACATATTTTTCAACGTGTCTCTACTTGCGATTGTATTTCCTATCTTCGCTACTCCACGTTTCTTTTTCCTCCTCCCTCGTCCGTCTGTCTTCTGCGACTCAATCCTTCACTTTCAAACATTTTCCACCGCAGATGCGCGCGGTTTCGTCCTCAAAGAGCATACATTAATACCCAATTCTACCCATTTACTGCAAGAGAAAAAAGAACAGGGCAGCCTATGGAAGCGATTTTGCCCGACGAAACGTTACTCCCGATCTTAGCGTCGATTCTTAACACTAGTTTCGCTTCTGATCGACGCCAGTCTCGACGACTTTGGCTCTAACGACCGGCCTGGGTTACGAACAGAGAAAGAGTCAGGGAAGAATAGAGTGAGAGAGAGAGAGAGAGAGCGCGAGAGAGGGAGAGAGAGAGAGAGAGAGAGAGAGAGAGAAAGAGAGAGAGAGAGAGAGAGGGAGGGAGGGAGAGAACGAGAGAGTGAGAGAGCAAAGAAACAAATAGTGTCCATTTTTCTTACGTTCGTTCTCGGCGTATCCTTTCGGGACGATTCTCGTTGCGTGCGTGGAACAATCGAATATGCGGCGGCCGGCAGCAGGATATTCCTCAGGGCTAGCACGAGCAGCACATCACAAAACTGGCCGGCAAACGTGGCTGCACCGTGGCGACAACACTCGTCGCTGCAGAACGCCGCGCGGTAATTCGAGGTAATTGATCGGTAACTGATGAACGTCCTTCCCAACGATCCCGGCGCAAGTGATGCCTGATGGATGAGACGCGACTAGCGCTGACGAGCGGGCGATTCACGAGCGAACGTCAACACACACGTCTCGCCTCTTCCTCTTCTTCTCCTCGCGAAGAGCAGCTCGCCTCCTCGGCCGGGCCTAACGATCGTCGAGATTGGCCGCTAATTATTCACTATTACCGCGCTGCCTCCCGGCTGATTCAACGTCGAGCGTCCGCGCGCCGGCTTTCTAGCGGCAATCCACGGGAAAATGCAGCAAGACCGACGGACCGAGCCCTCCGAAGCGACAACGACGGGAGAGACCGGTGGGCGACGAAGGCTGAGCGCGAAGTGACGCGCTGAAGACGCGACGGCGTCGCTTTAAAGGTGGCAGAGCGGAAGACGACGAGAGGCCAGTAGCCGGGTAGAATGTGCCGGGCAAGAATGAAGCTTCAGGTGGAACAGCCGCCGATGTAGCACGGGGGTAGAGAGGGGGGCGCAAGTTGGAGCAGGGGGGAGCAGAATAGGGTTCAGTACCTGTCCGGCGAGCGCAGGATCCTGCGGTAGGCGGGAAAAGCAGGACCTCGAGTGAGATCGGGCAAAAGCGCGCGCGAATTCACCCCGGTCACGTGTGCGTACGAAGAGGGAGAGGAGGAGAGTTCGAGGGACTCCGTCCTCCGGAGGAGGAGGAGGAGGAGGAAGAGGAGAGTCAAGCAGACGCAGCGGAGAATCCGAGCGCGGAATGCAGTTAACGACGATCGAATAATCGGCCGGAATGTCGAGCGGCGCTGCGCGGTGGACCGCCACGTGCGATCGTCTCCGTCGGCGCGCGTTTCCCGCGCACGAAATCCGCCCGGAAACGGGAACCCGCGGCTCCTACGCCGATGTGAGTCGCCAAGGAGGCGATCCTCGAAACGACAGGATGGCGACTCCGTCCGGCGGAATTCGCGAGCGAGCTTGTCGTTTTCGACGCACGGCGAGCGCCCTAGGCGTGCCCTTTCAGTTTTCAGTTCAGCCTTCCTCCGCCTTGAGGCCTTGAGGCTCAGGAGGGCATATTTGACGGCCGATAGACACCAGGACACGAAGCCCTCTCTCATTCTTCCGGATTTTTTTCCGTGACTCACTAATGCGAGTCGCTGCAGTCACGTTGCCGCTTTAAGCCTCATCTATAAAGTGCTCTCTGCTTCTTCTTCCTTATCCTTCATCTTTTCCTAGCTCAAGCCATTAGGTTGAAATGAAAAAGAGATAAATAGAGAGAAAAATGGAAAACGGAAAGTATATTGCAGATAAGGCTTTACGCAAGCATGAGATATGCCACGACAGTGATAAGAGCGACGGTCTCTCTCGGTCAAGTTATGAGAAGACCCGCAAGGGCGAGAAAAGGTCAGATTTGGATAGACGCGTGACGAACGCATTATGTATTCGTAGATACTTTGGGATTCTCAAGGACAACGAGAGTCGCAGCAGGGAAGAAAAGCGAAGGGAAAATTCAGGTAATCTTGGGAAAGCGTCGTTTGACGGGCAGAGCATCCAGCGGCACGACTCAAAATGGGGTCGCAAGGTTTTCATGCTGAAGGAAACGAGTCCTCGATCCTTCCGCGGAGATGAGCACGCGCTCGCGCATTAATGAAATCGAGCTCGAGGTCTTCGATTATTCCGGTTTGCTTTCTTCGATTCCCGAAGTTCTACTTTCGACGCATTTCTATCCTTAGAAGGAAGACATCGCCTGGCATTGAATGCTTTTGACGTTGAAAAATCAAGCGTCGACGTGGTTAATCGCTGTCATAAATCATGCTTGCGCGCTTTTCTCCCTTGTGTCGCGGAAAATGTTTCCAATCGGAGGGATAAGGGTGCGGAGGGAAGGGGAGCAAGCTATGCGAGTGATTTCCTGTTTTCTCGCGATCGCGCCTTCCCGTTTGTACTCCCCCCCCCCCCCGTTTTAATTCCATTTGGCGCTTCACATTTCTGCGTGGCGAGTCTCTCTTGCGGAATTCCTTGGCGACGTCGCAGACTCTGCTCTCTGCTGACGTCCAACATTTCTGCCGCGAAAGAAACGCTCCATTCGGACACGACGGGCGAGTCGAAAAGAAATTCCTCTTGGCGGTCTCGCGGCTACTCGAGTCGCGGGACTTGCCGAATTAAGGGGCTAACAACGGCTTTAACTGCTTTGTTTCCTCTCACCCTCCCTCCTCTCTCCCTCTCCCTCCCCCTCTTGGTCGCGGTTCAGTCGTGAAAAGCGGGCGGAACGGGTCACGAGATTTTAATTGGCCAGGTAAACACGAGACGCGACTTCCCGCGAATGAATTTCCACCGATTTCGCGACTCTCTCTCCGATTCACCGTTCTTTTCTGTTTATTCTGTTAATTACCTCCTCTCGGCGCTCGGCTCGTATCTCCCGCCCCCGCCGCCGCCTTCTCTCCCCACCCTCCGCGTCCCGCAGGTTTGATCAACGTGGCTCTTTTTCTTCGCCGAACGTAATTACCTCGGATTTGAATATCTGACGTAATCACTCGGAAGGTAACATCTGCCGATAATATTCGTGCATCGCACGTAAAGCAATTGTCATCCTGCTCGCCGGAACGCGCGTCTGTGTATGTGCGCGCGCGTGCGTGTACGCGAGCAACGCAAATGAGACATTAAAGCGCGATTGACTGGCGGTTCCTTCCGCGAATTTCATCGCAGGTGTCTCTGGATAACGAGTGCGATTCGTCGCGTCGCGAGCCTGTCACGCGCTCGCGACGAAGCAAATAAACGGGAAGGAAAGAGAGAGGGAGGGAGGAAGGGAGGAAGCACGTCCCAGATAGACAAATTTCGGCATATCATCTGATGGATATCGTCTGAAATCGAGAATGAAAAAGAGTAGCGTGAGCACTACGTAGAGATTCGTCCTCACGCAAAAAGCGTCGTAAAAGAAGCAATCCAATGCCGTGAGAATCGCGGCAACGTGCCACGTATTGTGTCGGCACGAGAGGATGCAATTAATCGGCAATATGAACGAGCTGACACTTTGCCGCAAAGTATGGGATAATAAATGTGTGTTTCTTACAACGAGCACATCAGAGACACGTTATCATAATGTTCCCATAATGGTACCATAAAATATACGCTGAACGCACGCATGCCGACATGTCTGTCTAGCTAGGACGCGTCGTGAGGACGCGGACTCGTTCGAGAAAGTCGCGTAAGCTTCGTGTTCGCCGAGCGTACAGCGAACGCTTACAGCGGCGTTGTAATTCGAGTTACAGGCATTGTTAAAAGTGTCATGGTCTATATTTAGATCCGACAGGAGAATCCACGTTGACACGTCGGCGCGCGATTTCCATCGTCCGTTTCTTTTATTTTTTTATCTCTCTTCTTCTTTTCCGCAGAAACGAACGCGCGTCACGTACTCGATGCGGGGGTGAGGGGAGGGGGGGAGAGAATGTATAAGAATACAAGAAATTCCCCGTTTATGAGCATTGACACTTCACAATCGCCGTTCTTGTCGAGTCACTTCGACTCGACCCAGTCGAACTCTGTGAGTTCTCATCGTAATGGACGGTCCCGACTCAATGCTCAGAAAATGTTTTTCTCCAAAGGAAATCTCGATTTTCTAAGTCGATTCTTTCACGATTTCCGTTTCTGTACAAGTCGATTCTTTCAAACGTTGAGCCCAGTTGAATTCTTCATTGAACGGAACAGCATTAAAGAAACAAATATACCAACGAATCGAAAATCGATCCTCTATTGAATCGAATATTTGTATCAGAAATCGAAGAGGAAAGAATCGACTTAGAAAAATCGATTTTCGAGGAAGGGAATCGACTTTCTCAAGATCGAATCGAGATCGCCCATCACTAGTTCTCTCTCTCTCTCTCTCTCTCTCTCTCTCTCTCTCTCTCTCTCTCTCTCTTTCTCTCTCTCGCTGCATGAGACATTGGGTCTGTTCCAAAATCAATTTTGGAAACCTTGGTTTTAGTTATAAAATTGTGGACCTTAAATTGCAGACCTTAGTTAACTTAGATGAGTTCCGTAATTAATCAGCTGATCGGTTATCGAAATAATAAATAATAAAAAATCTACCCATTTCTCTATCTAATATTACAAACTTAATAGCTAAAACCAAATTTGTTTAACGACTATAAAAAGACAGAATAGCACATAGTAGCTGTAATGCCTAACGTGATCAGCCGATCAATTATGGAAATCATCTGAGTTCAATCAATTACGTAAATTATTATTAAAGTAGTTTGAACGTTATTACTAATAAATTAGTTTGAGGTCTACCAACTTTCCCAGATAGCCAAATTTCGGCATGTTGTCTGCATAGAGGCTGAATTCGAGAATTAAAAGCATCCTCACACAAGAAGTATCATAAAAGAAGCAATCTGACACCATGAAAATTGCGACAACACGCCACATATTGTGTGGACAAGAGGATGCAATCAATCAGCAATACAACAAGCTGATATTTTACTGCAAAGTATGGTATAATAAATATTTCTTACAACGAGCATATTAAAAACACATTACGCCGCTCCAATGCCCATCACAAAGCTCACGTTGCGACGTTCACTGCCAGTGCTGAAAATACATAGTTTGTGTCACGTATACTATAGATTTTCAGTGCTGGCAGCGAGAATATCAGAACGCAGCCAAAATATTGCATGCTATTGCCAACATGTCTGTCTATGTGGGTTGCAACTAAAACCAGAGCGGATAAATCGACACAACTCGTTAAATATTAATATCCCGGCAGGTACAAGAAGAAACAGCAATTACGGAGACTTATTTTCCTCCACACCAGTCAGTGTTATGGTTATCGGCGGGAAACTTATCGCAGTTTATCTCAACTCGCACAGAATGAACTTCTCGAGCGGAGCGCAGCGCAGTTCGGCACAAATCCCGCGCATCGCCGCATGGAATGGTGCGCGTCGCATCAAGTTCGAGCTCTGCTACGACTGCTCGTAGCTCGACGCGCGATTGTCTCCCTCCCGAGAACTCCCACTTTTATCACAGAAAGCACGACCGCGGTGGTTGCCGACACGCGGTTATCGGACGCAACTGTCGTTGTCGCTAATAACACTGCGCTTAGCAACGATAAAGCCACATTTCGGTGCGTACGCGGAATCGTTTCCGCTGCTTTCTCGCGGAAATGCCGGGCGAGAGAAAGAGCAGGCGCTTCCGTGTTTGACAAACATTGCCGCGCGTTTGCACTCGATGATGCAAGGTGCGTCTCGCCGAGCGCGCGTCGCGTGACGCAACGCGCGCGCGCGTCACGCGCTTCGTCGGCCGCGGCGGATCGTCCACGCGTTCACGATAAAGATGAAAGAGCGGCCGTTTTCCCGCTGGAAAAAGATGCGCCCGCACACTCCGAATAACGCCGCGCTTCGCGACCGAGCGCGCAGCTGCGATCTATTTTCGCGCGCGACAGGCGTTATCGATCGATAGGGAATAACCGCTGTTCGCGTCATTGTTTGTATCTCGCCGCTCGACTAGCACGTCAGCGCGTTGTCCGAGTCATGTACGCGCGAAATTTGCGACTATTGTGATTCCCGGACAGGCCAGTGACTGAAAAACAACAGCGACGCGGAAATTCCCGAAATCGCGGGAACGCTGCCGCGTCTCGCCGCATCGGAACTTGACAAGATCTCGACCTCGATTCTGAGAACATCGATCTTTCTCCCGCGAAGGTCGGTCCTTTTCCGATCGATTTCTCCGCGAATCGATTCTTTTCAGAGAATCGAGTTTCGATCCGTTGATATCCCGAAGCCTGTCCCGAAGTCGATTTTAGGAAAACTTTGACCTTAGTTATAAAATTGGTAAGCTTTAGAGACAAACTTAAATGCGTCCCGTAATTAATCAGCTGATCAATTATCAAAATAGTAAGTAATAAGGAATCTATCCGTCTCTCTATTTAACATTATGCAATTAAAATAGCTAAAACCAAGTAATGTAAAACGAAAACATTACATGGCTATGAACGTTTAAAAGAATGATCAGCTTACCAATCACGGAACGTATCTAAGTGAGTTCAAGCTTCTACCAGCTTGATAACTGAAACAAAAATTCCCGAACCGATCTCGGAACGGGAATCCTGTACATCAATGTTGTTTCGTTTGGTGTGAAGAATTCCGAACTGAGGTTAACATTTGGAAGCATCAGAAACAGAGAAGATCGACTCTTGGAGGGAAGATTGATTCTCTGAAAATCGAGATGGCTACTCGGAAGATAAACTTGCGTTTACTC